TGAGAATCAAGGGCACTGAAGAAGAAGAGGTGCAACCCAAAGGGATATGTAACATCTTCAATAAAATAGTAACAGAAAATTTCCCAAATCTTGACAACGATTTGCCCATTCAGGTATAGGAAACCTCCAGGACACCAAACACACCTGAACAAAACAGAATCTCTCCACAGCATATTATCATTAAAATAACAAGCACAGAGAACAGAGACAGAATATTGAAGGTTGTAAGACAGAAAAAACAACACATAAAGGTAAACCCATCAAAATAACAGATTTCTCAACAGAAATCTTAAAAGAAGGCCATGGAGTGAGGTATTTCAGGCACTGAATGAAAATAATTTTAGCTCTAGAACACTCTACTCAGAAAAACTATCATTCAAAATTGACAGAGCAATAAAAGTCTTCTATGATAAACAGAAAGTAAAACAATATGTGATAACCAAGCCACCATTATAAAAGATTCTACAAGGAATTCTGCATACAAAAGATGAAAGCAAACAAAACCACAAGAAGACAGCAAGTATTAAGCAGCAGGAGAAGAAAAGTAATCAGAAAGTAGCATTGATTTGGCTACTTAAACAACAAAAACAACTAAATGGCAGAATTCACCACATACCTATCAATATTAACAGTGATTATCAATGGACTGAGCTCCCCCATCAAAATACACTGTTTTGGCAAACTGGATTAAAAAGGAAGATCCAACAATCTGTTGTTTCCAAGAGACCCACCTTACTGACAGAAATAAACAGTCTTAGGGTGAAAGGCTGAAAGAAGATTTACCAAGCCAATGTCCTTGAAAATAGGCAGAAGTAGCAATACTTGTATCAAACAAAGTAGACTTCAAACTTACATTGGTCAAATGAGACAAATAACATATCAGAAAGATCATTCACCATGACCAAGTCAGCTTCATGCCAGGGATGCAAGGATGGTTCAACATATGTGAATCATTAAATGTAATACAGCACATTAATAGAAGCAAAGACAAAAACCACTTGATCATCTCACTAGATGCAGAAAAAGCCTTTGATAAGATTCAGCACCATTTCATGATAAAAGCTCTAAGGAAACTAGGAAAAGAAGGAATGTACCTCAACATTATAAAGGTTATATATGATAAACCCATAGACATCATACTTAATGGGGAAAACCTGAAACCATTTCCCCTAAAGTCAGGAACAAGACAGGGTGCCCACTCTCCCCACTCCTATTGCTTGGAATTCCTAGCCAGAGCCATAAGGTAAGAAAAAGAAATAAAAGGAATACAAACAGGCAAAGAAATAGTCAAACTATCCCTGTTCGCAGATTATGTGATCTTGTATCTTAAATACTCAAAACTTCCACTCCAAAACTCCTCATATGCGGACTTTAGACGAAGGGCAAACACAACAAGGGGACAGGACTTTGATTACACGATAAGGCTAGTGCACACGAGGGAGGTATGAGGATAGGTAGGCAACCCCCCCCCCAAAAAAAAGATAGAGAGCATTTGATGTCTTCAATGCAAAGGAACTAATGCAGAAACTTTAAAGCAACAGAGTCTAATAGGAGAAGGGGACTAGGAACTAGAGAAAAGATTAGTTAGAGAAGAATCAATTAAGAAAGTAACACATATGTACATGGAAGCAAAACTAGCACTCTCTCTAGATAGCTATCCTTACCTCAACTAGCAAAAACCCCTGGTCCTCCCTATTAATGTTTATACTCTGTCTTCAAAAAAATTAGAGATAAGGGCAAAACAGTATCTGCTTGGAAGTGAGGGGGTGGGGGCGAGAGGGAGTGGGTGGGGGCGAGAGGGAGAGGGTGGGGGGAAGGGAGGAGTAATGACCCAATCATTGTATGCACATATGAATAAAGGAAATTAAAAAAAATGCTCACCATTCCTGGCCATAAAGGAAATGCAAATCAAAACTGAACTAAGATTCCACCTCACTCCTGTTAGAATTGCTACCATTAAGAATACCATCAACAACAAATGCTGGTGAGGATGTGGGGAAAAAAGAAACCCTCATATGCTTCTTCTGGGAATGTAAGCCAGTACAACCACTATGAAAAACAATATGGAGGTTTCTTAAAAACTAAACATAGATTTGCCATATGATCCAGCAATACTATTCCTAGGGATATACCCGAAGGAATGTGACTCAGGTTACTACAAAGGCACTTGCCTACCCATGTTTATTGCAGCACTATTCACAATAACCAAGCTATGGAAATATTCAAGATGCCCCACTACCGACAAATGGATTAAGAAAATGTGGTATTTATACACAATGGAATTTTACTCAGCCACAAATAAGAATGAAATTTTGTCATTCACTGATATATGGATGGAACTGGTGAACATCATCTTAAGCAAAGTTAGTCAGCCTTAGAAGACCAAAAATCGCATGTTCTCCCTCATATGTGGATTATTACTGAAAACAAATGCAACAATGTTATTAGACATGGTTCACACAATAGGGGAGACCACACACGGGAGGGATAGGGAAAGGAAAGGAAACCCAAAATTGAATGTGGTTGATATGCTCACCGTATAGGAGTGAATATAGTAATCTTAAACTGGTGAGAGCACTATGCGAAGTGGACTAGGAAGTAGTGAAGAGGTCTGGTAGAGATGACCCAAAATGGGTTGTAATACACATATGTATGGAAACAACACTAGGAATCTCTCTGTACAGCTACCTTTATCCCAAGCTAACAAAAACACTATGTTTTCCTTATTATCTCTTATGTTTTCTCTTCAACAACATTGGAAATGAAGGGGGTGGAACAGGTTCTGCCTAGAAGTGTGTGTGTGGGGTGACAGGTGGCCAAAATAATGTATATACATATAAGTAAATGTAAAAATGATAAAATAAAATTAAAAAATTATACAATTTTGAAAAAAATATTTTTCATTGAGGTCATGTCTTTCTTATGAATTAATTTTAAGATTACTTGGGAAAATAATGAATAATCATGATATGAATATGGGTATAAGTAACAAAACAGGTAAGAAACAAAACTTAAGATATATGAGCCAAAGTTTTCCAAAGAATCACATAATCTCAAATTCTCAATAGTCACCCAAACCAAGTATATATACATAATATACACAAAAGACTTCTACTTTTAGCCATAGTGAGGTAACCAGGTCTAGATTTATTCTCCAACCTCAAATAATTGAAAATTGAATGAAATAAATGAAATAATGGGAGTTCAAATACTGAACAACAAGCAACTCAGGAGAGTAATCTCTGAAATAAGAACAAATAAGATGAACTGTCTTTTAATTCTTATCTATAGTTTCCAGGCTGCAGTGGAAGGTGGGAAATACAAACAGAATCTAGTGGGCTCCCCTGAATTAAAAAACAGATGTATATTCAAGAAGGCTAGGATTTGCAAGTGGCATACAAGAGTAGAGAGATGCAGAAAGAATACCAGAGATCTGCAGAGGGTTCTCCTTTACGTTTAAGTTGAGTACAGATTCACACATGCACAAGAGGATATAACCTTGAACGTGGGGAAAGAATTACCTGAAAAGGCAAGAACACTCACTGCTATTTAAGTACAGCTGGAAAAAGTCTCTAGACAAACAGAAAATGTCACAATACAAAGGGCACTGAATAAAATATTCAGAAGGGCATTACATCAATAGTGGACAAAAATTAGTTTTAAACTTAAGTCATCTCTGGTCTTAAAAGCAAGTTTTGAAAAAAATAAACTGTTTTCAAAGTAACTGTGTTCCTGAACAAAGCTGAAGAATATTTAAAGAAGTCCAAAAATTATCCAGCATCCAAAGTAAAATTCATAATGTCTGGCATACATTAAAAAAAATAGTAGGTATATAAAAAAACAGGAAAATACAATGCATAATGAATAGAGATGTAAATGAAAAGGAACAAACTCTGAAATTTCATAGACAGAAGTAGACACAAAGACATTACAACAATTTTAAATATCATCTGATATGATCAAGAAGGTAGAGGGAAGAATAAGCAACCAAACACCTAGAGAATAAAACTACAAAATATAAGATAAAAAATACACTGGAAAGAATTAGTAATAGATTTGGAAACTACTACAAAGAGAACTTGAAGATACAGCAATAGAAACTTCCCAAAATGAAACAAAGGGATTAGAAAAAAGGATAAAAAAAATAAACAATGTAAGTAATATAAAGGACTTCACTTGGCTTAATTTATGTGAAACTGGAGTCTCTGAAATAGTCTTGAGTGTAGGGATATGTGAGTAACTAATGGCCAAAGTCTTTCCAGGAATACTATAACCTCACAGACCACAATGTAAACAAACTCCAACCATGAAATAAGGAAAACTACATCAATGCACAACACAAAACCAGGAATGAAGAGTAAATATTGTAAGTAGCTAGACAACACTATTCACAATAGCTAAAATACGGAATCAGTTTAGGTGCCCATCAACTGAGCAGGAAAACGTGGCATATACCCCACGTATTACTCAGCTGTGAAGAAGAATGTTGTTATGTCAATGGATGGAACCAGAGATCACCGTGTTAAGCAGAATAAGCCAAAATGAGAAAAATAAATATTGTATGTTCTCTCTCATATGTGGAATTCGGTCTTTAAAAATGAATGATAGTATGTAAAACAGGTCCTTTTTGGGAGTGGGTGCCAGCATGAGAAGAGGGAGAAAGGAGAGGACGAAGGGTGGGAATATGGTAGAAGTAGTTTATATGTACGGATAAAAAAATAGAACTATTAAACCTGTTGAAATTGTTTTAAGAAGAGGGTAGGTGGGATGGAGGGAAAGGATAGAGGGGGTGAATTTGACTGAGGTATATTGTATACATGTGTGGAAGTATAAAAATGAAACCCCATTGTATGAATAATAGATGCTAATAAAAAAAGGAAAAAATATCATTTGGTCTGATAGACACAGAGTGCAAATAAGAGCGTCACTCTCTCTAACCCAAAGTAGTATGTGGATTTGGACAAAGTGGTATGGATTTTTAGGCCCTTTCCATGTAATACCTGTCTTGTTTTTCGTGCACTTTGCAATACTGCTAGCATCTTGGCTTTCACTAGAGTGGCATTTTTGGCAGTAGTAGTAGCTCTTAATCCAGCATTGGGCTAAGGAGAGGAATACAAACTCTCAAACATGACAAGGCAATCTTTAAGATTTGTCGTAAGATAGGAGGAAGTGGAGTCTCCACTCTTGGGAAAAATCTGTCTTTCAGTTAGTTCTCTCCTCTCTTGTGTGGTGGTTGGGGATAGCAGGACAACTCTACTCATTTAGTGGGAATAAATTAGCGTCTGGCTGGCGGAATGGCTCAACTGGTAGAGTGCTTGCCTAGCAAGCGTGAAGCCCTTAGTTCAAGCCCCACACTATTATTTTAAAAGAATCATATAAGTGAGACAAAAATGACTTGATCTGTAACATATGTAAAAAAAATCCTGTTCTAATATATAAGCAACGATTTTGTGATACATCAGAGCAAATTTTGTTTTACAGATGAGAAACAATACTTTAAAGAGACAAATTTCATATTAAGGTTGCAGAGCTATTATGCATTATTCCAATTTTGTAAGTAAAACTGAGAAAAAAAAAGTCCTGAGATAATTTCACATGGGTCAACTTAACATAAAGTCCAGTGTAGATAAGTCTTCTATTCTAGAGTCTTGTTTTATAACCATTGTTTCCTATTTGGATCTTGTTACTTAAACATACGATTAAGGCATAAACCTCTGATTCATATGCCTTTATAAAACTAGATGAGCAATAATTTAAAAAATTAATTTATCAACCTTATGTAATAAAATGGAGGGTGTCATTTTGCCAAAACAACAGATGCTCTCTTTTAGGAAAAAAGTTACTAATTAATTACTTCAATGAAACACTCAATTTAATAGTATATTCCTCAATACAAATGAATACAAAAGTTTTAAGAAAAAGTAGCGATAGAAAACAGAGTACATTAAGTACAGGAAAAAGAAAATAAGCATAACGTTTTCTGCCAGCAAGCAATGCAAGTTAGAAGACTGTGGCTCAACATTTAAAATTTATTTCTGGCTGTAATGAGGATTGAACTTAGGGCCTCATGCTTGCTATAAAAGCACACTATCACAACATTTTTTAGAGTACTGGAAGTAAAAAACTGTAGACCTGGAATTTTACACCCAGAAGAAAAGTTTTCAAAACAGAAAGGAAAATAAGGAATTCTTCAGATACACAAAACTTGAAAGAGTTCGCTGCCGGCAGGCCTTCAATGTAAGAAATCATAAAGGGAATCAATTGAATTCACGGAAAGCATGGAGAGCATTAGAAATAATAAGTATAAGGATAAGCACAAATATCCTTTACAAAAATAAATGGCTGCTGGACTGGGCATGATGGTACATGTCTATAATCCTAGTTACAGTATAGGAGGTTGGAGGACAGGCTAGGAAGATATTAGTTCAAGGCCTGGAGAAAATGTTAGTGACTGCCTATCTCAAAAAAAAAAAAAAACAAGCCTGAAGCTAGGCATGGTGGCATACACCTGTAATCCCAGCTATGTGGGAGGTCATAGGTAGGAGACTTTTGGTTCAGGTCAGCCTGGGGAAAAATGTGAGACCTTATTCAAAATTAACTAAACAAAAAGAGTCGGAGTATGGCTCAAGTGGTAGAGCTCCGGCCTAGCAGGACCTTGTGGTCCTGAGTTTAAATGCCAGTACCATCAAAAGAAAAAAGAAAAAGAAAATCAACAACTTAAACTTTAACAGTAACAACGCTCTGTGAGTTTATTACAAATGTCAAACCCAAATGTAAGACAAAAATAACTAAAATCCTTGGATAGGACAAAATAGAAGTATACTATTATAACTATAAGGTTATTTATACCATACAGGAAGAAATACAGTATTTCTTCAATATATACTGTGACAAATTCAGGATGTATATTATAAACAGAATGTATATTATAAGCCATAAGGTAATCACTGAAAACATCAAAAAAAAAAAAAAAGTACAGCAATATGCCAAGAAAAAATAGAATAAAAATTCTCAATTATAGGAAAAACAGTAACAAAGACACAACCAAATAGAAAACAAAAAAGCAAACTAGAACAAAATAGTATCAGTGTTGTCAAATTCAGTGAGCCCTTCATGTCCATGGATTCTACACTCACTCATTCAACCAACTATGGATCCAACATATTCCTGAAAAAACAAAACTCTGTCTGATCTGAACAACTACAAACTTTTACCCTTGTCACTATCCCTAAACAATAACACCTGTTACACAGCACTTACATTGCATTATAAGTCATATACAGATGATTTATCAAGTTCACAAGAGGATGTGCTTCGGCTATAAGCAAACACTGTGCCATTTTGTATAAGGAACTTGAGCATCCACAGATTTTGGTATCCATGGGGACAGGAGGTGGTGGTATCCTGGAATCAAACCTCCATGTTTACCTAGGGATGACTGTGAATGCAAATGTTACAAATACTACTATTACAAGATATTTTCAGATTGAATAAAGAGAAAGGTGCAGGAGACAAGGACATCTGCTTTTACCACCTGTTTTCAAAACAGTACTGGAAGAACTAGCTAGGCAATCAGGCAAGAGAAAGATATAAAGGTTATTCAAACTGTCCCTGGTTGCAGAGGACATCTTATATATAAAAAAACCTCAAAGGCTCCATCAAAATACTATTAGAATTAAGAAATGAATTTAGTAAAGTTGTATTATACAAAATTAACATATTAAAAAAAGTTGTGTTGCTATCTAAAATTACTAAACTACTTGAACTAGAAATCAAAACTAATCCAATGTAGAACAGCTACAAAAAATAAGATACCTACAAATAAATTTAAACAAAGAAGTAAAAGACCTCCACAATGAAAACTGTGAAACACTGATTGAAAAAAACTACAGAGGACATACACAAAAAGAGGGAAAACATCTATAGTCCAGACTACAAAAGTTAACATTGCTAAAATGCTATACTACCCTGAACAATCTACAAATTCAATGCAACCTCTATCAAAATACCAATGATATTCTTCACAGAACAAGGAAAGCGATCCTAAAATTTGTACAGAATCATGAAACACCCATACAGCCAAAGCAATCTTGAGCAAAAAGAATAAACCAGGAGACACAATACCTGACTTCAAAGTATCTTAAATAGCATGTTATTGGCATAAAACCAGACACACGTCAATGGAACAGAACTGAGACTCTAGCAGTAAACCCACAGATTTATAGCCAACTGATTTCTGCAGAAGTGCTAGGAACAGGCATTGGAGAAGGACAGACTTTTAAATAGAAGGTGCTGACAAAATTAGGTATCTGTGTTCTTTTAGTCACTATGACAAAATTATCTGAGAAAACAACTGGGGGGGTGCAATTTTGGCTCATGGTTTCAGGCCATTTTTGTGGGGAGGGCGTGGTGGAGCAGAACAGCTCTTATGGCAGCCAGGAAGGAGGGAGGAAGCGGGGAGGTAGAGAAGGAAAAACAGAAAGAGGGGGAGGGGGATGGAGAGAATGCTCTACTCTTTTCCACCTGGGTCCAAAGCTTATGGGATGGTGCCACCCCTATTCAGGAAAGGACTTTCCCCTTAACCTACCTGAAAAATACCTTCCAGACACACTCAGAGGTGTGCTGTAAATGGAGGAGATGAAGGTGAGGGAATGATTGATGGGCCTCATATACATTTATGAAGAGAACAATGAAACTTCTTGCAATTGCTTTAAGTGGGAAAGGGAGAGGGTGTGTGTGGGAGTATGGCTGGGGCAATCTAACCAATGTATAATATAAGGCTATTTGGAAATACACAATGAATCCCCTTTCCAATGAACACACACTAATAAAAATGAAAAAAAAAAAAAAA